AGATGTCACTTTTACAAGCCTCCCAACTCTAAGACATCTTGTCCAGCCTGTTGTCACAGGACACGGGAGAGGAAATAGCCTGCACATAAACGCCACGTGCATTACACAGCAACGCTATGCGGAGTACATGCTTGGATAAATGCAACACTTGCATTTATCCAATATTATTTCTGTATTCATTTTATTTCATTTTTATTATTTTCTTTTTTGCATAGAGTATTTAGCAGTTTTACGCTGAGGTGGGACAAACCACAGCAAAAGTGTCTCTTCCATCTGGAGGTTATATTGTTATAAAACAGAGCCCGTTTCAGATATTGATGATGTGATTTTATCTTGAAAATTTGTATTTGTGACGTTTTTCTTTCTTTTCTTTTTTCTTTTTTTTTTTCTTTTCAACTAAGACGCCGTTTACTTTGCATAGGCCAAAATGCGCTTTAATGAAACAGACATAAACAAGGATTCTTGAGGCAACTCACACTCGGTTGCTCTAATCTTCTCGCCAGAAATGAAAAAAAGGCCAGAATAAAATAAACGTTAGTTTGTCTATGACGTTTTCACGCGAATAAATTGAGTCCTCTCGTTTCTTTCTTTCTTTTTTTTTTTTTTTTTACATCTGTCTCCATCCGGAGCAGAATCCCTTTCGCCTTTTCGAAAAGTGCAACGAAATTGCATTGCATGACTTTTACATGCAATCGGGCTTTTCTCCTGTTTGTGAAGCTGCGTGATTTGAACTTCAGCAAACCTCTTAAAAAGATCGACGTGCGAAACAAAAACAGATTAGTTCAGGACTGGTTGTTGCTTCATGAGTGATACATGTCAACAAATAACTTTAAAAAAAACGCTTTCGCCTTTTTCACATAACTCGACATTTGTTGTTGTTGATTTAAAAATGTTAATACAATTTTTTTGTCCGGCCTTTTTTTTGTTTTTTGTTTTTTCCCCTATTCCGCCCCTCTTTCGTGAAGCGGACGCAGATCGCGGAGCCCTTACCGTCGATGAGTTTGGGACTCCCCGCGTCCCTGATCCTCTCCGGCCCGAGCATGTCCGTCTCCCTGCCCGGCGAGAGAGCCACGTTCCGGGCGACCGCGGCCGCCTCCTCTCGGCTCCCGGGCTCCGCGGATAAAGACTCCCGGCTCCCTGCTCGCGCCGCCCCGGTCTCCAACACCTCCCGGTAGGTTATCACTTCCTTCTTCTCCTTCACTTTCTGATCGAAGGACTTGGATACGAAAGCGGTGAGCTCTTCCATCACTGCTTCCTCTCCTCTCGGAAAAAACACCATGCACTCACTCCCTCTTTTCACACACACTCTCCCCACTTCGCTGCTTAAGACATCAATGGTGTGGCTCGTTGAAAATGATACCAGATGATGCAAGCCAAACTGTGGATGAAGGTGGAATATATATATATATATATAAATATCTTCTCAGCCAATTCCTCCTCCTTTGGTATAGCGGAGTTAGGGAACCTGCTGGTGATCCTCTATTGAAGTCACAGTATTTATACTTTACGGCGCCTTGCCCCCTTGATCCGTGCAAATTACCTCCCCTCAGGATGCCGGGATGAGCCCCCCCGTACCCCCCTCCTCCTTGCTTTTCAATGATATGGGAGGGAAAAAAAGAGAGAGAGAGAGAGAGGAGCAAAAACATTAAGCAGCGCCGCCGCTATTGGCCATTAATCCAAGATTGACAAGAAGGACTAATTAATTTAATTACGCGCTCATTCGCCGCTATTGTCCTGAGTTAGTTTTTTTAAACACCCGGGAGATGGTCATGGATCTGTCTCTCTCTCTCACTCTGTCTCTCTCTCTCTCTCTCTCTCTCTCTCTGCAGGGGCGTGGCTTAACAAAAAAAAAAAAAGAAAATAAAAAATCCGAAAAAATGACAAGCAGAGAGGGAAGCGCACGGATGAGACGAGGAGTTCTTCCTCGCTATGTATCACTGTGATCTGCGGGCGAGGAAAAAAATAAATAAAGAAATAAAAAAAATAAAGAATAAAAATGAGACGCACAATCAGGATGACGCGGAGCGGAGAGAGGTGACAGCGGACCAGCAGCGCAGGAGAGACGTGCGCTCCGAGCTCCAGGTCGAGCTCCAGTGAACACATCATGGGGTCCCCAAAACTTTGGCCCGAGGCCCTGCCGTAGTTTCGCTTTTAGATTGATAAATGAGACGCTATTATTATTATTATTTATTATTATTATTATTATTATTATTATTATTATTAAAAAAGCAGCACGTGCGTTTCTCACCAGTGATTATGCGCTGCAGCCAGACCATATCGCTTAATATTAATCCTCACTGGGCCATTTTAAGCCATTAGGGTGTTAAACAGCAAATAAACGCTTAATTATAGCTCAGTGCCTTCTTATACGACATGTTGCCATTGGGCTCGCTAATTAAAGTTTCTATCCCCCTGCTTTTTTTTTTTTTTACCCCTCCCTCCTCTTCCTGCTGAAATAAATGTCCATATTGAAGAATGCACAAAACCACGGCTTGTGGTAAACGCGGTAGCAAATTATTTCTGGGTATAATTTACACACACACACACACACACACACACACACACACACACACACACATATATATATATATATATATATATATATATATATATATATATATATATATATATATATATGAAAGGAAATGTCAATGTCAAATGCATTTAAAAAACAGGTGCAGGTGTAAAACTGCACCAAAGATTCTGAAAAGTGTTGGGTTGAAGAGTAAGACGCAAAACATCAAGCATGTTTATTGATAATCCATATAAAGCCCCATTTCTACACACAGAGCCCGAACAATTCTCCCAATTAATTATTAACGGCGCTTCTACTCGGACCGCAGGCATTAATTTCTATTAATCCCGCCGCATCCGAGAGCGCGGACGCATCCAGATAGCGTTAAACAGATTCTTTTATCAATTTGCAGCGCGCACTCCGATTACTTTGTTTCTCGTCAGCTATTTCCAGCCCGTGCGCGCCGCTGATCAATCAGTCGGTGTACGATATTAGTCGTTTCACCTTCAGCTCCGGTGTGTGTTTTAAAACTTCATCCGAGCAATTAATTATTCTGCTTTGCTGCAAATTGCCCGTGCGCTCCGTCTGACCTTGCAGTTTGTGCGTTGTTATTATCTGAGCAGATGAGCTCGCTGGCATTTTTATTTATTTTTTTTCCTACCAGAAGGAATATGCATTTCTGAAGATATTGGTGGAGCAGAGCCCAGATCAAAAACCACAATACTAGAAGCTCGGAGTGCTGGTGCCTACATGTGTTTCTTTGAAATGTTTTCATTCACTGTAGTCTGCAGACAATAAATCTGCACAAAGGGTAAAGAAAGCAAAACTAACCAAATAAATAAATTCATTTTTTACACGTTTTTCAGGATAACTAAGCTACTCAGTTTACTTATACAGAACTATTTCAAGTTAAAGGTTACCTGTGATCAGGTTACAAATAATCAATCAAACAGTTCAGCTGCTATGGGCCTCCAAACCAACAGGTGGCACCGAAGAGCAAGGTCGTTATCTCACGGATCATAATCACAAAGGCATTTGTTTCTGCACAAGGATAATTATTCTACATATTCAAAATTATATGAAAGTCAGTATGGTCAATTTAAAAAAATTTTTTTAAATATTCTGCTGCTCAACAGACTAGGATTTATTCAACAATTTTTACACAACTAAGAAGGAAGCTATAGGTTTTTACAAGTGTTGGTGTATGATTGTGGAATTTATAAGATGTAGACTCCAGCAGCAGATGAAATGCCAAGAAACACTTTTATTAACAAGCCAGCACAGTTTGGTTTGTGAGATTTATCAGATTAGTCTTTTGAAATGCAAATCAAAATGGATTAGTCTACTCACAAAGTTGCTACTCAGCACTTCTGATATCACTGGAATCTTCGAATGATCAGAATTTTGACCCTCTACGTACATGAACCTTAACAGTCAATAAAGTTGTTCCAGAAAGTTTGGCGTTTCTCGGTTTCAGATCTTACACATTTTAAAAATGAACTAGCAGTTGTAGTATTATTTAAACGCGAGCTTGCTTTTTCCACACATTTTAAAAGCAGTCTGTTTATCAGAATTAGGCTAGAAGTGTTTTAGTGTTTTCATCATTGCTTCTGGAGTAGTCTATGAGCTTTTTTGTTGTAACTTATCTTTGGAGTGGGTTTATTTTTTGTGTGTTTAGAGAAAAAAAAGTGCAAAAATCAATTCTAAAACTGTTGCTGCTTAATTATGACTTTCAGCTGAGTTAAATTATTCCGTTTATTTACAAACAGATACATCAGATTCAAACTTTGGAGAGCATTTAATCCAATTTGTAGAGCCAGTTCAAGGCATATCTAGTAGCTCTGTACTCCAAAGTAAGAAGGGCCCCCAGAGAGGACTCCATTTGACACATGAGTAAAATTTTTAATTGATTTTCTGCACTGGAAACACAGTGATACAACAAATTGTTGCAAATCATCGAGGTTTACATTTTTATATGTAAATCAGTTTTACAGTGATTTCTGACTTTGTACTTTTCAAACACATACTGGCATATTTTATTTATTTGTTTTTACATGCCATATTCTGAACAAAGTATAAAGACAATCTATTTACATCTGTGTCCAGATGTAAAGATTATTGGCTTTCCCAGACAATTCCTGGATTATTTTATATTTTAATTTTTTTTCTTTTGAAGGAGTAGATTGAGGATAATTTGAAACCATTTGGCAGTCAATAGCAAACATTTATGAGAAAAAGAACCATAACAAAGATATTGAAGCATTTTGACAACACACATGTAAGACGGATTTAATTTAAAAATTACGAAAAAGAAAGAAAAAAGAATCACCTTTGAAAATAAAAATTTTAACCAAAAACTACTGCTGCTAGAGTAGAAAAAAATAACATTATATATTTATATAAACTAAACAATGAACATTAAAATCCATAAAACGCGTCAATCGATTGTTTTGTGTTCAACTCTTAGTTTCTGAATTCGATCGATGTTTCCGGGCTCGATGAGTCGAGCCTAGTAAGCAGTGCGTGTCTCCAGTCGTGGGGAATTCAATGGAGTAAAAGAGAGGAGCGGGACGTTCACTATCAGGTTTCTGTCTGTTTTGCTTCAATGAACGTTCACGTACAGCTGAGCTATTGAAATGACACGCAAATAATCCGGCACGAAGGTTAAATACGTCTCTTGAAACGCTATGTTTTGAGATTATGTATTTTAGCTAGTTTGGTTAGCACAGTTAGCCTGCTTGTAGACTCAATACAAATCAATAAGAACTACTAATTACAGGTTTTTGTTGCATTATGGCACCGCAGAGTCGTTGCTGCTTAATCAATGACATACTTGACACACAGACCTCCTTTCTGAATGCGATCGTTAGTGAGTGGCAATGTTAAATGAGCTCTACATGAGCCGAGACGATGTAAACATTGTGCATGACAGCTGATCATGTTTAATGTGGTATTTTTTCCACCGCATCTCAACGCGGCTGTTATTCCAGCTGACCGGTAGCCAGGATGGGTCGGCGCTCCTCTGACAGCGAGGACGACAGTCGGAGCCGGAGGAAAAGAAAACAGCGTCGCCGTTCTTCGTCCTCCTCGTCTTCCTCCTCCTCCGGGAGCCGGGTGAGGAGTAGCCGCAGCAGGAGATCCAGTCGGAGAAGCCGCTCTCGCTCCAAAGACAGAAGGTGAGATAGCACTGATCCCCCCCAGAGGCGGCAGGGATGGAGACTGCCATACAGCAGTGGTTTTAAGGAAGATACTTTAAGGTTCTGATACAGGCGGCTACTCTGGTGCTGCTTCTGCTCATGAACCTTGATTAAAATAATAACAGCAATCATACTAATCTCTCTAAGTTTTGGTTTATCCATCCAACCATCCATCCAACCTCCGTCCGTCCGTCCGTCCGTCCGTCCCATCCATCCATCCATCATCCATCCATCCATCCATCCATCATCCATCCATCCATCCATCCATCCATCCATCCATCCATCCATCCATCCATTTTCTGTTCACCCTTGTCTCCAATGGGGTCGGGAGGTGTTGGTTCCTCTCTCCAGCTACGTTCCGGGCAAGAGGCGGGGTACACCCTGGACAGGCCGCCAGTCTGTCGCAGGGCAAAATAGAAACAAACAGGAAAAACAACCATGCACACACACGCACTCAAACCTAGGGAAAATTTTTAGAGAGACCAATTTACCTGACAGTCATGTTTTTGGACTGTGGGAGGAAACCGGAGTACCCGGAGAGAACCCACGCATGCAAACTCGATGCAGAAAGACCCCAGGCCGGGAATCGAACACAGGTCCTTCTTGCTGTAAGGCGACAGTGCTACCAACTGCGCCTTTTACTTTAATCAGTATAAAAAAAATCCCCCTCCTCTACATTTATGTAGCAAAAATGTTGATAACCATAAAAATGCACAATGTAAATAAAGAAAACTCAATTTAAATTATTTTGTCGTGTCCTATTATTAACAGTGGTGGTCTGCAGAACTACAAAGTTCAGCAATGAGTTCTGTCTTCAGTTCTGCTCAAGTTTCTGAACTGTATGTGGTTTTATTGTTATTTTCAATAAGAATGCCACCTTCCTGTCTAAAAAGTATTCATAATAACTAATAAGTATTCATCACTTTAAGCAGTGTAAGTCGTCATCGTCTCAATTCAGCCAATCATGTCGTGAAGAATGTGATAGAATTCACCTTCTATAGTCTTTAGATGGGGTTAACAATACTTATGTTGTCTAACAATTTGTTATGAACAAGGAAATTATATGATTCACAAATCAAGTGCGGGTTTTCAGAGGTTTTCCCGCTTTCTCGCGCCAATTTCAAACTTTTACTTTGAAAAATAACTCAGTGATTATCCAGTACCTTTACTGGATATTTTTTATTTGCTTAAAAAATACTTTCACTAACTGCTGTTTGTATAAAACTTCTTATGGCCTGAATGAATTAACATGAAACTTGACTTTTTGTGTTCTCGTTGGTGCCTCTTGTTCAACACTCCCTTGGAAAACAAGTTTTTAAATCGCTTTAATCAGGTTTTTTTTTTAATTCTGGTAAAAACGAGGCTTAAAAAACAAACAAAAAACTTTGGGATTTTAAATTTGTGTTTGTATTCATGTTGCTACAATAATTATTTATTGATAGCTTGAATTAATGCATGGGTGTCATTGATTTTCTTCAAACAATTGTGGAGTTATTGTTTAAAGAAACAATAACTCTATTAATTTGTTTTCTATATATTTGCATCTGATATAGTTTCTCTCATCTATCTACCCACTAGCAACTCCATCCATCTGTCAATCCCTCCATCCATCCTCTGACCCACACGCGACTGCCTTGGTTGTTCTGACAAGGCCAGTTGATGGTAATTATTTATGAGACCTGGTCAAGGTCCATTACCGCTGATGGAAAGTACTTGCGTGCCTGCACAGAGTGGGTCTGGGTGGACAGTGTAAACCATGGGACCACAGTCCCTCATCTATTAGCTGCGCATTTTGATCAATTAACCAAGACCTTGAATTTGTTTCTGTGCGTCTGTCGAAACAAGTTCCTTTAAATAGACTTTAAAAGAGTACACACACACGCAAGCCACCAACAGTGACCTCACTTGTGGTAAAACAGAAGAAGGCTTGTGTTCTGGGTGGGTGACATCATGACCACATAATTAACATGTATATGTAAGGAGAGTGATTGTAGCCATTACTGTGTATGCGTCTGTGTGAATAAGGAACAGGATGGTGAAAAGTGTTTGTGAACGAATAAGAGAGATGGCAGCTGATTTGTTCCGTGCTACCGAACAAATCAGCTGCGATCTAAGAGCTTTCTAAGATTAAAAAAAAAAAAAACATTTCCCCTGAAATTTGTTCAAGCTGTTGTTTTCTGCGACATTATGTCTGCACAGGCGTTGGTGAAAATGTGTGAGCAAACACCACCTTCCAAGGAAACCTCTGCTCACTCGTGTATGCGTGTCTTCTGTGGGATGTGTGAAGTGGTTTTAGCGGAGCAACCGTGGAAGTGATTTCATAAGGCTTCGCTCTCGGGATCAAGCCTTGAGAATACTAATAGATCTTTGCTGCGCTGCTCTAAGTGGTACAAATTTGGTTTGATAGTTCAGCCTCTGTGTTATTTGTATTGCTATCCTCTCCTCCTCTTCTCTATCTTGCTGAGGTCCCACAGGAGTAAGTGTGTTTTTTTTGTTGTTTTTTTTAGATTGCGCTTTGGAAGGTTTGGTTATTATTATTGTTTTCTTTGGTGAACCAAAAGGAGAGACTTCAGATAATGAGTATTGCACAAACTGTGAAGTACAGGACGGAGGTTTCTGCATTTACATTCACCCCCGTCAATGCCTCCTACTTCACGATATCAATAGAAACATGGTGTTAGCTGTGTTTGGGAAAACAGGCACTACACACGCTGCTGTTGCTGCATTAAAGAACACCAAAGGGCCCCTGTGGAGGAACTGTAGTGCAGTCAGCGCGGTTTTTCAGCCTTGGGCCATGGATGAGAGTGTTTACTAATGCAAAGTTGCTATCAGAGCTGCTTACTTCTGGAATTAGCTGCTGAAAAGGAATGCTGCCTGGGTTTTTCAGGGGAGGGGAGAGTTTCACATGAGCTGCAGGAAACTGGTGAATAAAACAAAACACACAGAATTGTCTTTGTTGGTTGAAACATTTGGTAGAAGTAAAAAAACAAAAACAAAAAAAACCCCCAAACTCTGAAATGTTCTTCATGGACTCGTGTGTATTTAGCTCCATCAAACTTCTCTTCTTTGACCAACTTCTCAATCCCTGCTGAAGAATAGCATCCCAACAACATAATAGCTCCATGGACATGGTGTGTTTGGGGTTTTGTTTCTGCGTATAGGGTGAAAATGTTCAATTTTGGGGTCATCGAACACGAGCACCATTTTTCAGGTTCACGTATCCCCTACATGGCTTGTGGCAAACTTTGATTTGAGCTTCTGTTTGTTCTCTTTCAGCAAATGCTTTGTTCTTGCCACTCTTATTTCAAAGCCTAACGTTTTGGAGTGTAGGCATAATAATTGTCCTGCTGACAGATCCTCCCATCTAAGCTGTGGATCTCTGCAGCATTCCCACACTTCAGTGCACCGGACTCAGTTTAGGAATATCAGAGGAAAGGAGGCTCAATACACATGCACATCTCACTTTTCAGGTTTTTATTTGTGAAAAAATGTAAAACCGTGTAATATCAACAGCATCTTTCTAATTATACTGACCACTCAAAGCACTTTACACTAAATCAACATTTTCCATATCTGCACTTACAATTGTAACTTCTCTAAGGCCAGACCAAAATGTGGGAAAAAAAATAGAATTAATCTCACAACTTGTGGATTGCAAAACACAACAAAAAATCCTCTGCACAGTTTTTGTAGTTGAACAAGAAGCAGTAAGTGGAATGAAATTGAACGAGGTTGTTGTGTGTCCACTTCAGGAGAAGACGGCGTTCCAGCAGCAGTTCATCCCAGAGTTCGTCTCGCAGGAGAAGGAGCCGAAGTACGGACAGAGACAAAGGAAGAAGCCACCGCTCACACAGATCCCGCAGCCGGGACAGAAGGTAGGAGGTCATTTGACTGGGTTTTAGCTTTACATGACCGTAATGAAAACGCATGATTTTATATTTATTTTCAAAGTTTTCAGACATTAGTAAATGGATCCTCATGTGTCAGCAGGACATAGTTATGTGTGCATGCAGTCTCAGTTGCCCTGGCTATGTGTATATGCAGGAGGGCAAGTGTGGATGATGCAGAGATGCAAGAGAAACAGCAGCATATATGCTAATAGTAATACAATGATATTAGCTCATGGACATTACTGTAATTACATCATGAAATACACAAATGCAAATGATGATCATCATTATTCTAGTATTTCACTACTTTTGTTTCCTAATGGACACAGTTATTTATGCTAAACTAAATAATAACTATACACACCTGCTCACACATGTCACACGCACGCATAAACACCGGGCTGTCTACTGTCGGATGATCTACATCGCAAGGGTGAAGCTTAAATTATTCATTGGTCTTCTGTGTAGACATGCACCGATAAATGAGCTAGCCGATAAATCGGCCCTGATGTCTTTAATTAGGGGAGATCAGTGATAAGCCGATACTGTGATGTGACTATTGACTGATCACCTCATCAAAGAAATCAACCTCTGTCCTCTTTTACTCTGTCGTGAGAGAAGTTTGACTGACAAACCGGGTCATGTCTGCATGTTTACAGTTATCAATAATCCTCTCCCCCCTGTTTCCAACTCAGCAACTTTCTTGCTATATTTAATAATATTTCAGACAAAAATAAATGGAATCTACAAAAACCTGAATCTGCCTTTCAGGCTTTTTAAAGATGGTAATTGGCAATCGGCTGGAAAACTGCAATTGGTGCACCCTTACTTTTGACTCTATAACATATCACATTATCCAGAAAAGTGTAGGACTGTATACGTTGGCGAAATCTGTTCCTATTGATGCTGCCAAAGACTTGGGCTGAGTTAGAAAAAAACTTGGTTTTGATTTATTACATTGTTTAATCTTTTATTTATGTCGTGGTGATCACTGAGGTTTACTTATTTTATTTTTTGCATAAATTTTCTCTTCGATTTTCTTTTAGTGCTGTTTTTGTTCAGGTCACCCCTGTAAAGGAGATCTTAAAAATCAATGGGTCTTTCCCGGTAAAATAAAGTAATAATTAATAGCGAGTCTCTTATCCCTTTCAGACACATAAAGAGAATATCTCTGTGTGTGGTGATCCATGTCATTTGCATCACTAATCTGTTGCTAATGAACCAGTAAACTGTTCTGTTTTTTTTTTTTTTAAATCCCTCACACACACCAACTACTCTGAAACACACAAAAACATGCACAGATGCGCAATTGAGGGAAAGGTTGTTATAATATATGCGCGAGCAAGGCCCTTTGTTTACTTGTGTATGGCTGCGGGGGAGAGCAGAGATCATTTTAATCACAAAGAGAAAAACTGATTTAATATCTTCATTACAGAGATTTTGGGATGAATGGATTATGCAACAGAAAAGCTTTGACACGTGTGGCTGATGGTGTCATGAAAAGACACCACACTTCCACTCTCCAGCCACAGAATAAGCGACGAACTGCAACCGCTGAGGGGATTCGGACGAGTGGTTTTGTTTCAAGCGTCTGTGTCTCCCAACTCTCCGAGGCTGTGAGTCCGTCACTCGGCGGAATTGCCTCTGATTAAAACGTCGGCGCAAAGTGGCATCGCTGGTGTGTTGTGAGATGAAAGGTGGAAGGGATTTGGGGAGATTTAGGACTACGGTGAACGCTGGTGTTTGCAAAACGCTGCGTTGTGATTAGGAGGGCTCCGTTGTGTAATCGGCTTAATGGTGAGCGAGGAGCAGGTGGACTGGCCGACGTTGGTGAGAGAGTGTGTTGGGGGGTGCTGCTGAGGCGGAGTTAGGGATGTGCAAAACGAGAGCATTAATTATGAATTTATGCGGATGAGTGATGGCGTCTCCAGTTTGTATGGTTTAACATGCTTGTGGTTTTTGTCGGTTTTTGTCTGCTGTCACACTGTTTCTTGTCTCGCCATACTTGTTGATGTATCTAAAAATGTGTTTCACCTAAATCTAAAACGGAAAGAAATTAAGAACATTTGGGGATTTTGTATTGTCGGTGTGTGTTGAGATAAAGGTGCCAAATTTGCAATTTTACCTTAGGCCGCTTTTGGGATTATATCCCTATCTTGTTTTATTGTTTTTCCAAACTTAGTGGAAACTAAAGGTCTAATGATTAAAGTTCAGTTTAAGATCTTCCAACTGGTCAAGTAATAATTATCTGAATTAATCAGAAAGTAGCCATGTAAAATTGCATGCAGGAGGCTGGTATGCTAACTATTGATTCAGTAAAAAGTAGCAGTTCTAATTACGTTTTAGCTCTAATGCCATACTACTTCAAATGATTAACTAATCAATTGCCGTGGGAATTGTTAAATAGTGGAATCAATTCTCCAAAAGCGTTGATTACTAAGTTAGTCAGAGCTAATACAGGATTACTTACTCAAAATAAAGTTCTGTCTTTTTGCATGAATTGGTTGTTTGAAAAACACAAAATTGTCATTTTGTGTAAACTAATTCTTAAACTCAATCCACTTCAGCAGTTTTTCTAGAATCTCATTTAAATGTCATCTAAATTGAAGGAAACTGAAATGGTGGCAAATTTAAATGTAGTCTTTCTTTGAAACATTTATTGTATTATAATTGCTATTTAAGTTTTTTTTTGTTCCTATGCCTGGAATTTATTTACTGGCACATTCTTGTCATAACATTTTGTGTGTCGACTTGTGGTATTTTTACTCAGGATTATCATTCCATGACAATCCCTGACACTAGTCTGCAGTAACCTGAATAAGTTTACATATTAGCTGGCAACTCCTTTGTACATAGTTTTTCTTAATTGCTTAATCTTTATCCAGCCTTTCAGTACTTAATAGAGTTATTTTATAAGGAGACATTTGACAATTTTCGAGCCTGTACATTTACGTTGGACACTGCCTATCCAACACCCAATAAGTTTAATAGATGTTGCACAATGCTTTGGTGCCAAGACCACCATTTGTCAGGGCTCTGTGTGTTTGTGCGTACATGTGTGGATGAGACTGTGTGAGAGGCTCTCTGATGGATCAGAGGAGGATTGAGTGGACAGGCCCTCGTGATTGATACTTAGACAAGATATAAGGCGCCGCCTGCCACCCCGCACCTGTCCGCGCACCAGAACCTGCTCCACCTTCAGAATGTGAAGGAGCATCTGGGAGATGGTGACAGGAGAGGGGAAAGAGGAGAGGAGATGAAAAGTTAGGGGAGAATGGAAAAAGCGCAGGTTCAGTTGGGAAAGCGAGCGGCGTGGGGAGCAAGAGATAGACTCGAGAGGGATATTATTCAAAAGAAATGAGAATAATCATGTCCACAACAGAATATTCCAGGAGGAAAGATTAGAACCGCGTTTGGCTGGTGCGGGTTGAAGTGAGGATTCTTATTACCCCTTTTTGGATCTCTCGCCTATCAATAAAAAATAGAAAGATCCATGAAATAAGAATAATGCTCCATCATGTGTTTACTATTTATTGGAGCTACCTGCCTCTCTTCTCTCCCTTCCTCCTTTTATTCCTGCCCTCAATCAGAGAAGCGCCAGGTCCCCCAGAGGCAGTCAATCTTGCCCTGAAATGTAAAACAGACAAGAGGAACAGATTACCTATTTGCCACTAATGTTTATTCTCTTTGATGTGAGCAGGCATATCAGGCAGTGTGTGTGTGTGTGTGTGTGTGTGTGTGTGTGTGTGTGTGTGTGTGTGTGTGTGTGTGTGTGTGTGTGTGTGTGTGTGTGTGTGTGTGTGTGTGTGTGTGTGTGTGTGTGTGTGTGTGTGTGTAAAACGGGCCTGGTTGTGGAAGGGTGATTGAGCCTATGCACGTATGTGCAGATTTCCATGAATGCATGCTCATATGGGGGTGTCAGTGAATAGTCCACTGGGGGAGAGCAGTGTGGATCGTGGCAGCTGCCTCGTACAGTGATCTGATCGGTGCAACAAAGACAACACGGCCTCTCATCACAGCCGGATCACAGGCTCTTCTTTAGGCGAGCACGCCAGAGCGCCGTAGTTCTCGCCTGTTAATGGCAACCGCATCAGGGGTTAAATGTGTGTGGCTCAGTCAGTCAATCTCTTCAGTTGCTTTTTCACTGCAGCCTGATGGCGCTAACGAAATGTGAGAAGGAATCTCTGGCGCAACAGACCCACCACTTGACCAATTGGGGAGAAGCCGAGCATATCGTCCTTTGTTAGGTATTCACACATGTGCTCGTAGGTTAGCGTTTACTTCATGGGGGCTGACACGCCAATTTACTTCATTAATATTTCAGGGCTGCGTTGAGCTAGCAGGTCAGAGTGCTGGCGTCAGGGTTTGGCCCTGCTAACACTGGAGTACCTCTCTTCAGTCAAAGAAGAATGAAACCTTTAATTATCGGTGTTTCCCTTTGGGGAGATGGCAAACTAAACACCCCACCCAGGAAACTGGATCAGACACCTGTGTATGAGACTCACAACTGGGGCCTGGTTAAAGTAGAGAGATAAAAACTGTTACACTGTGCTTCAGTTAATCAAATATTTTAAAGCAGTGATGCTTTGTAACACTATGGTTGAGACAAAGGCCCCTTTTCCTACCGACTGTGAAGTTACTGTACAACACCAGCCCTGCCCCTTGTACGAGGCCAAAGTAAAGCTCTTAGCTTGTGTGTGTGTGAGTGTGTGCGCACATGCAGCTGAGCGATGACCTGGTATTTATTTCACACAGCAATTTTCCCCCTGTATGAGATGAGGTGTCGTACATCTGCTAGATAGCTTTTTCTGCCTTGCTCCGACATGAAGAGTGCACAAGGTCATTCGGGCTGCTTGGGATTGGGGAGAACTGAGGTGAGGAACCGAAGGGTGGTGCAACAAGGTTTTACACACACAGAGAGAGAGAGAGGAAAGGATGGCCAGCTAGTTGATGTGTGAGAAGGCTGAAGGACCCTATTGTAGGCG